AAGAGCTAAAGCATGAGTACTTTCTGAGTGAAACTTCTGAGGCCTCAGAGCCACCCAAAATGTTCTTGAGGGAACTAGGAATAGGCTTAACCCACAAGGCAGCCCACAAAGTACTTGGAGGATAACTAAGGGAGCTGATTCCAGGCTACTTGATGAGGATATTTCTGGATGGAAGCGTTGGGGTAGAGGAGAACTATCATTTAAATGGGCAGTATATCAATGGATCTTATCATTCCTGTCAAGTTTCTCGTCTTACTTCCCCCACTTGTTTTTGTAGTTCAGTCATTTTTTTCAGTCCTCTCTGACTCTCTGTGACCCTATCTGGGATTTTCTTGGCAGAGATACTGGAGTAGTTTGCCATTTCCTTCTACAGCTCATTTTACAGATGAGGAAACTGAGGCAAACAGGGTTAAGTGACTTGCCTAGGGTCACATAGCTAGAAAGTGTCTGAGGCCAGGTTTGAATTTAGGAATATGAGTCTTCCTGAATCCAGGCCTAGCACCTAGCTGCCCACTTCCCTCAGTTGAATCCAGGTGCTGATTGCAATGGTAGGTTGAAGACAGTTTTACTGAAAACTGCAATCAAGGTGCTCTTCTCATCTTGCTGTCTATGCCATCACCAATTTGTCCTTCACACTGCTGCCAGAATATTCTTGCATATTTGGTCATGTCACAACTCTAAAATTTTCAGTGCTTCCCTAAAGTTCCAAACTCCTTTGCCCGGCTTATTAAAGACTATCTACAATCTGGCTCCACTTTATGTTTCCAATATTATCTCATGTCATTTTCCCTCCAAATAACTTGATATTCTGGCCAACTCAGCATACCCAGTGCCTCCTGGGACATGACCTGTGTGGATTCTCTCCTTCTAATGTCCTCATTGCCTTAAAGGTCCTTTCCCCCCTTCCTTCATTACCTGTTGAATTTCTACCTGCCTGTGAGCCCAACTCAAATGCTGTCTATTTCATGAAACATTCCACCTTCACCCAGCATTGTAATCACTTTAAGTGAAAGGATTTAAGTACCCAAAGGGCCAAAAGGCAAATCTGTGAACTGTTAGGAGTTGGAGATACAAATACAAGATGGTATAGTACCTGCCTCCAAGAAGCTTACGTTCTAATTGGGGAACTAAGACACTTAACGGCAGTGGTAGCCAAGGAAGGGAGTTTTGGTGTGGGACATCACTGGGATAGTAAGTGGAGCCATAGTGTAGTCAATTGTTACATCTTTTCATGGTAGTGTTGATCTGATTACTATTCCCTGACTAAAAGGTATGCATATGGGAGGAGGTGGGGGGGGTGGAGCAGGAAAGGGGGCACCTAAACAGTGATAGGGCATATGATAATATGCCCTTTGGTGGATGGGATACCCCTGGGAGGCATAGTCTGGGGCCAGTTAGATATAGGGGGTTAGGTAAGTTTGTACTCTCTCACTCTGCCGTCCCCCCTTAGAGCTAATATAGCATTTCATTTTGCTTCTCTGTAATACATTTTTCATGTAACACTCAGTATTATTTTTCTGTGATGGTGTCTTTCTTTTTTCTTTTTTTTGGCTAGGCAATGGGATTAAGTGACTTGCCCAGGGTCACACAGCTAGTAAGTGTTATGTGTCTGAGGCCAAATTTGAACTCAGGTCCTCCTGAACCCCGGGGGCCGGTGCTGTATCCACTGTGCCATCTAGCTGCCCCTGATGGTGTCTTTCTTTACTAGACTATAAGTTTCACAAGGGTAGGGATTTTTGTCTTATCTAAACTTTGTATCTCTCCCTCCCCACTCCCTGAGGATGTAACAGTGATCTGTACATAGTAGGTACTGAATGTTTTCTGAATGAATAATACCTCTAAGGCCCTTTCAAAATCTTCAAACTGCTTTCAGATGTGAGGGTACTAAATTGATAAACAAAACTTGAGTTTGGTATGAGCAAAAGAGGGAGGACAAAAGAGATAATGACCCAGATCAGACTGGCTCATAGGGCAATACAGCTTTAACCTCCTCCACTCTCACTGGAGGAATACCGAATAGTCTGAAGACCTTTTCTATGGATCTAGTTCCAAAACTGCTGTTCCCAACAGTATCCCTTTTATCCCTCTATACCCCCTCCCTTTTTCTACCACCTGTATAGTCTTGGCAATACTCAGGCTTTGTAGATTTATTTTGGTTGATGTTTTAAAGAAAAGCCTCTTTATATACTCCCACATTTTTTTTTAAAGAGGGGTATTTTCCAGGAAAGTATTCATGAGAAAATATATTGGGGCCAAGAGTAACAGAAGAATCTTGTATCTGCTCAAAAGACCATGCACACAGAAATTATATTTGCATGCATGCATCCATGCAAGTAAAAACACCATTGGAAAAGAAAGAGACTAGAAGAGATAAGGAGGAATATTTCTAAGTTGTAAGAACAGTGGTTTTGTCAGCAGCCAGGCAGGAAGATAAGGTGACCCAGCCCACCCCAGTGCCTGCTGGCCTTACTGTTTAGTTCTGATTCTCCCAGGAAAGAGGAAAAGGAGTTGCTGACATTTCTGCTTAAAAGAATCAATGAATCTTTGTTTCCCTGTCTGTTTGTTTGACCTTATTGTGTTATGGAACAGGGAAAAAACTCCCCAATAAAAGTGGTCAGGGTGAGGGAGGCAAGGTGCAAAGCGGAGGGAACAAGGTTTTTCCTACATCACAGGTAAGATCACAGACTTCTGATCATCGCCAGGAGGTTATTATTTGGTGGTGGTGATCTTATTTGCTCCTGATTCTAATTTGGGATTCTTGGCTTGCTGTAATAAGTCACCATCTTCTCAGCCGTCATTCCCGTATTGACAAGCAAATGTCATCCACATTTGATTGACGTCCATTGCTCCTGAATGCAGAAGTACGCTTTAGGAATCAATGCTGCTTATTTATTTAAAGCTGCTTTTGGTGTGTCCTGTGTATTCGTTGGTGGGATAACTTGCTTAATATCCACTCTGGGGACTTTTCCATTAATATTACAAATTCAGACTTCTTTGACCTTATACTTAAAGCTGCCCATTCTTCCCCATCCCTTTCTCATTTCCCTTCCTCTTCACCCCTCCCCCAATACACATGGGAAATCTGCTATGGAAACTACATATCTGTATCTGTATCAGAGAGAGACCTTTCCAGAGCCCTGTGATATACTGCTTTGTCTGAGGACTTCTAAATGCAGTTTGCCAGGCAGTCACTTTCTTAGGGACTGGAATTCTTTTAAGAAATGAAATCCATGGACAAAAGAAACACTCAGTAGTCTGACTCGAATGCATGTGTATATGTGTGTGTATATATGTATATGTATATGTACATATACATATATATACACACATATACACATACATACATGTATATGTGTATGTATATATATATGTGTCACCCTCTTTCCAGAAAATGTTGGGCTTGATTTGATCACTGTTTCCAGAGCATGCGGAAAGACAAACCTGTCCCATATATGTAAAATGTTTGGCCTTTATGGCAGGTATGACTTAACTCCCAACTACAATGAGTTACTTTAACTCCCCTCAGTAAGTTTAGTATGCTAACTTTCTTGCTAGAAACAAAGTTCCTTCATTTTAAGAAGCCTATCAGGAAAACCAGGTGCTTTCAAAAGAACTTTCATTTGTGCCATTTAAAAATTCTAAAGGGCTGTGCTTATATTGAAAAATAAAATGGTTATTTCACATAACACTTGATGGGTAATGGGAGCCAGGCCTTGGTGAATTATTGTTGGTCCAAGCCCTTCCACCTCCATTATTCAGATGCTGCTCCTGGTAGAGGAAACCGAGGGCAAAGACAGGAATGACCCTTTGGTCCAGGTTCAGTGACTTGGAAAGCTGTCGTGTCCCTCCCAGCCCCCCTCCCCTCCCCAAGTAAGAGAGATGTCATCACTCAGGTCCAGCAAGGGGAGTGTTTGGGATTTCACTGTTCATCCTTTTGAGGAGAAAGAAAAAAAGGGAAAAAATCCCCACATTGTCAGAGTAATGCCAAACTCCCTATGAGTGGGAAGAGTAGAGCAGATGCTGGAATGTGATGCCAAAGCGGCTCCCCTTCCTCTGTGCCTTGGGTGCCTATAAATTGCTCGGGCGCGTTTGTCAGCCTCCTCTTCTCCTGGCAGGTGGCATCGGAGCAGAATCCTGCTCTCAGTCTCTCTGTGTGCCCGGCAGAGAAGCGCTCCTCTCCTCGCTAGTGCTTGCTCTTCGCTTCCACGTCGCAGCTTTCTAGTGCCTCGAAGGGGAGTGGGAGAAGGAGGCAAGGGGTCGCCGCCTCTCCTCGCGGCTCCAGCACTGCGTCTGCTGCTGCTGCTCCTTCCAGGCAATTGGCTTTGCACGCTCCAGGAGTTGCACGGCTGAGCTCGCGCTCTCAACCCTGTGTGCGCCTATTTGGAGTTGTGCTTGGGGGAAGAAGCGGGAGGGGGTAGGTTGGAAAGAAGGATCTCCAGGAGAAGAAAACGCGACAGGAAAGGGGGGAGGAAAAGCAACTTCAGACGGAAAGTTGATTCGAACTGGCATAGTATGCAAAAGAGGGGAGAAGTCGATGACTAGCAGCAGCATAAAAGTGTGAGAGGCTTCAGTGGTACCCAGGAGGCGGGCGGTTCCTCTCTGCCCCGCGATCCCTCTCCCTGGGCTGCTGCAGCGGCTGCAGCGGCGGCAGAAGCTTCACTAGCAGAGGCGGCAGCGGCGGCGGCAGCAGCAGTAGTAGCGGCAGCAAGCAGCAGCAGCCACAGGTGCGAAGGGGCGAAGGGGCGCAGAGCAGGCGAGAGGGCGCCCTCGTCACCCTTCCCCCCTCCCTCCAACCTCAGCCACCCCTCCCCATACAGCTTGGGACTTCAACTCAAGTCACCTTTCTCCCGCCCTCTCGCCCTCCCTCCCCAGCAGTAGCCACAGCAGGGAGGAGGAAGAAGAAGAGGAGGAGGAGAGCTGCCGGACGCTTGGCGGCCCTAGGGAGTTGGGGGTTCGTAGGGGGTCGTTTTCGGCTCTGAGGAGGTCCCCGCCCAGCCTTCAAAATTTTGTCCAAAAGCAGACAAGAGGATCGCCCCGCGCTGAGCCGGTTGGTGGGCAGCAGGAGGCGCCTGATTGCCGCCGGGGCCCTGGGGGTGGTGATGGTCCTGCTGCTGGTCATCCTCATCCCGGTGCTGGTGAGCTCGGCGGGGACGTCGGCGCACTACGAGATGCTGGGCACCTGCCGCATGGTCTGCGACCCCTACGGGGGCACCAAAGCTCCCAGCACGGCAGCGACCCCCGACCGGGGCCTCATGCAATCGCTGCCCACCTTCATTCAGGGCCCCAAAGGCGAAGCCGGCCGGCCGGGCAAAGCCGGGGCCCCGCGGACCTCCCGGAGAGCCCGGGCCGCCGGGTCCCGTGGGGCCGCCCGGAGAGAAGGGGGAGCCGGGCCGTCAGGGCCTGCCGGGGCCCCCCGGGGCTCCGGGGCTCAACGCGGCCGGGGCCATCAGCGCCGCCACCTACAGCACCGTACCCAAAATCGCCTTCTACGCGGGCCTTAAGCGCCAACACGAAGGTTACGAGGTCCTCAAGTTCGACGACGTAGTCACCAATCTGGGCAACCACTACGACCCGACCACGGGCAAGTTTACCTGTTCCATCCCAGGCATCTACTTCTTCACCTACCACGTCCTGATGCGCGGGGGGGATGGCACCAGCATGTGGGCTGATCTCTGCAAAAACAACCAGGTGAGAAAAGAAAGTGGGGTCGGGGAGAGGGGGGACTTCGAGGGAAGGGAGGAGGGGGAAGATAGAGGAGATCTGCGAAATCAAGTTGGGGGGTGGGGTAATGGAAAAGGAAGTGGGGAAGGGGAGACGTAACCAGGACTCAGGAGTGAGACGGCTGGAGGGGACACCGCCTCACCGAGGGCTCCTAGGATTGGGAAAGGGGTGGAATTTTTCCGTCGGCGGTAGACTACGGGTCAGCTTGTAGAGGGCGGTCCCAGACTGCTCAGCTCCTCCACCCCCAACCTCCAAGCCCAGGAGAGGTCAGATCCAGGAACATTCCGAGGGGCGGGAGTGCGCGTGGTGTTGTTCCCCCAAGGGTGAAAAAGTTGGGACCTGTATCATCTGGAAGAAAAGGGACGAATGGGGCTAGAACCTACAAGACAAGCTGGCTCTCCCGGGAACTGGAGGCTGTCAACCCTAGAGGAGAAAGCTAAGTCCCAAGAAGATGCTGAGAGCAGGGGAGCGCAGGAGATTGACGGGTTCCTGACCTGGTGGCCAAAGGACCCACGTTGCCTCCTAGGACAAAGGAAGGGAGAGGGCTCTTTAAGTGTGAAAAATTAGAGCCCCTACTTCCGGGAGAGGAAGGAGAAAGGACGAGACCAGGGATGTTTCTGGGACGAAGAAAAGTAGAAAGGCCAGAAAGTCCGTGGGGGGCTCAGCACCGCGGGACGCAAGCAGAGTAGCGCACGTTGCACTAAGCTACCCCGCCCGGCCTGTGCCCTGGACACCAGAGGAAGAACTTCGTCCCCTCCCAGTCTCCTGCCGGGGCCCAGGGCTAAGGCCAGTGGAGCGCAGGTCTTCCTCCCTCCCACGCGAAGCTGCGTTAGGAGTGGGAGTAGAAGAGCCCAGGAAGACAGAGCGGCCTTACCCACGCACAGAGGCAGAAGAGTCTTCGGGGAATTGGGTTCGCACTTGGCCCGGGCGAACTCTGGTGCTTCCAGCGCTTCTCGCTCTCACTCCAGTAGTGAACTGCTGCTGTAAACGGAAATCGTGCGCAGTCCCGTGCTTGGAGACAGAAAACAATGCTGTAATCCTCTTTTCCAAGACTCTTTAAGGAACGCAGCCACTACGGCGCTTTTAAAATACGCGCCTGCCTCCCTCCCAGTCAACTCATTCAGAGGCTTTGCAACACCCCGCTAGGTGTCTCGTCTTGAGAAAAGTCACGATGCTAATTGGGTGGCAATTAATGGGGACTCTCTACTTCCCCTAGGTTAACTGTTCTGGCATGGTTTGGAACCCCCTTTTACTCAAAGTAGGGCTTCAGGTTACCCTTTCTCCTCTCTCCCCTAACCACTAGAGCCCTTTCTTCGATTAATTTCCCCCTACAGCCCCACAAAAACAAAAGCCAGATGATAGACACCTAGATCTCAATCCTTTCCAAAAGGGCTTGGGTGCTCAAAAAGGACAAAGGCCTTTTTCTTTAAGGTGACTTCAGGGCCCAAGGAATAGAAAAAGAGGCAAACTGCCACCAGGAGGCACTGCCTGGGATGCGTATTATAATTATTATGAATGAAAATAATGTTAAAATAAATAACATTTTCCTCTGATTCCCTGGATAGTTATAGGTAGGTTGCTGAAGGCGACATAACTCAGTGTAAGAAAATAGGTCTTTTAGGGTGTTATGATACCCTAAAAGGTATATTTACATTTATAACAACCAATCAGTAGGCATTTTTTTAAAGCACTTATCTCCTAAATGGAAGTGTGATAGGTAGAATAAGTGGAGGTAACAGGAAAAAAAAAACCATTAAAACATTGCATTTTTAGTTTTTGGGTTTTTTTGCCTCAGAATCCACTTAATCTATAGAACATTACATTGGCATGAATTCACAAGTTTCAGTTCTATGGACACAAATTAAGTTTTAAGCAAAGTACGTAATGGATTATTCATGGATGTAATAAGATTCGGTTTTTATTAAAATGTTTTAAAATTTACTTTTTAGAGATCTGGCAGTAGAACAGAAAACAGAGAACTAATCCATTTAAAATAGTTGAAATTTGATTTTTAACCTACTAAGCCTGTGTATTTTATAGTGGTTTCATTAAAACCTTTCCCCCCTTCCAAAGGCTAATTACTTTGGCGTTTTTAATTATTACATTGGTGGAGTTTCACAGATAGAGGCCTCTTTTGTACAGTCAGAAAGAGAAGGCAAAACAGATAGCCAGGCTCTGTGTATGTCGATGTGTAGAATGTGTAATGCTTTAAATCATTTAGATTTGTTAATTCTGCAAGATGTATGCAACAGGTAATTCTAAAAAGAAAAAAAATCCATATAGTTGTAAGCAGATTACTGTAGATTTAGAGCATGGTTCTGAAATAATTGAATCCTGTTGTAGAGTTCAGGTTATTGGCAGAAAATGTGATAGGAATTCCACAAACATATTCTTCCTTCATTCACCCCCTTTGAAATTATACAGCATTCTGATAATTTCTTAGAACCATTTTCCATACTATCCCCTTTTTCGATATGACCTAATTTATGTCTGTAGAACTGAAACTTGCAAATCCGTATCAGTGTCATGTTCTATGGGTTAAGTGGATTTTGGGAGGCAAAAAGTAATAATAATAAAATAAACAAAAAATGCAATGTGTTCCGGAGAGAAAGGCTACTGTACCAGAGTCTTATAAGAGCCATTTCATTTATGCTGTGTATTGGATGCAGGATCACAGAAGGAAACATCAAAGGCCAGTAAATTAATCTGAAATGCCACTTAACCTTTTGTTTATGGTTCCTCAGAAGTACTATGAAAATGAAATTATGAGAACTTCAATAACAATTAATTAAATTAGCAAATGTCTGCCATAAATATTGTCTTTAATGATAAACCTTTAATAATAAGATGATGATAACTCATTTTTACTTTGATAAACTTACCACTAAGAAGGATATGGCTGGGGTTTTGTTGTGGTTGTCTCTCCAAATAAGCTTAAATTTATTTTTACGTTTTGTCTCTTTTGTTCTTTAGGATAGGCTAAGACTGAAATTATTCAAAGTGAAGTAAAAAAAAAACCAGAAAAAATCCTTGTATACCCTTCAATTAAACAGGAAACCTCGAGAGTAAAAGATTGCTATTCTATTGAAAGTACTACTTCTGCTTTTTAAACCACAATAAACTAGCCAGTGAAAGCAGAAAAAGATCAGAAATGGATAATTTAATAATACAGATATTTTTCTTTCCTTAGAATTTAACTTAAGTACCTGATCTTATCTTTAAGATGACTCTTTTTGTGGGGAGATAGTTATTGTTGTGATTACTATAGTATATTTGTTATCTTTTTAAGGACTTTGGGAAATACTGGAAGACAAAAGCAAATTCTTAGGTAGAATGCAATATAGAAAAGATGGTGGATTGCATTCAGGGATACACTGGTGATAGTGGGTTAAACGTGAAGAAAGCATCACATTCCCTGAGAAAACAGCCAAATCAGTGTACATTTAGGAATTCAAAATCATCTATAGGGTGAATATATTACCCTTGACAATCTGAGAGCTTCCAGAATTGCTGAAGTCACAGAGCTGGCTCCTATGGGTTTGCAGTTTCCAGGTCCCATTATACCTTTGCAATATGATGAGGTGGGCAGGTGTATTAAATGGTATCAAGTATACTAGAGAATGATACTTGTTTAATTTGGAAGGTCTTGTAGCAGAGTATTTTAAAGTCTTATGGGATTCTTCTCAGACATTAAAAAGAAATTGCACTGGCTTTTCCAAACAAAGGAAGGGCAATCTGTAAGGGGTAAAATGCTGGAAGGCGGGATCAAACTAATGCATTTACAGGATTTTGTGGGGATACACAACTGAATAGAAATTGCTGTATATCTTAGGGACTGTTGCCTATAAATCATATCATTTTAATAGAGAAAATGATTTCTTAGCCCTGTAATGCCCTTCTAGAGGATGCACTTAATGTTTAAACCAACAAACTGCCAAATATACTTAAGCATATCACCCCAAATATAAAATGTTATGTAAATCCTATTAACAGCTGTTAATTATATACTGGATTTCTAAATACATGAATGGATTTTTTTTTCTGTCCAATAGTACAGAGAATTATTATGGAATTTATTTTTCACCATCCATTAAAACCTAGTCTTTTTGGTTTTTGTTTTTAACATCTGTTCCAAATAGCAATATCCTATAGGTGTTTTTTTTTTTCTTTCTGGGGAATAATGACTAGATGGAGTTAATGACTCGGGATGATCAGCTCCTTCCAACTGGTAATTAATTCCCAAGAAATGTTCTGTGGTTCAATTGTTATTATTTAATGGTCAAAACAGATCATGCCACTCAATTGGTGTGTATATTTGAGTGAATATTCCTAAAGTATAATCGTATGCTATATTGCCATCATCATAAGAAATATAAGTGGTGCAAGTTTGTATAGTGTTAAACAGTTCTACTGCCTTTAAGCTCTTCTTACTCTTTGGTATGTGACACCTAGAAAGATTTCTACACCCCCCCCACTCCCTTCCTTACTCAAATTACCTTTTGAGTTCAGCAAGGTCAAAGAGGTTTCTCCTCTTTTAACATTTCAGCATTAATGTGGTATCATCCCACATGAAAATTTAAATCTGAAAATCTATCATTTCAACTCTGAAAGGAAAGCAAAGAAATTCTTGACTTATGGGTCATTTCCTGCCCCTCCCCCTCCAATTTGCCAAATGATAAAAATCCAGCATATTGTTGCAGAAGTCATCCTTTAGTGCTTAGTTGAGGCTTGCAAAGGCATTCCACCCCCAGGTCCTTTACTTGGGGAGCTGTGATTATTTCAGGAGGTAGTAACTGGTCATAGAGAAGATGTTTTACTCTCATAAATCACCTACGAATATGCTTACCGAAATGCTTTACAGGGCTGAACCAAAACAGAACTAAATGAAGCCAAAGCTTCATTTCAGTTGTAGATGTGACAGAATGTTCATATCACTTGATGTGATGGGCAATTTGACTGTTTGCAAATGCCTATCAAGTCACTAATGAGATCACAGACCCCATTCATGAGCAGCTTACATGTTGAAAACCAAAAGGAAACGCCACGTTTTACAGCCATCAAATGATAAAAGTACATTCAATTAGAGAATTCACATTCAAAGCCATGTAGAGCCCTTAAATAATGGGAATTTAGTTCATTTTATATCTTTTAGCTTATGCTCAGTTTAATTCATTGATTTAAGGGGATATGCCAGCATTGCCTGGCCAAACTATGATGCTCAAAAAGATCAATAGGTAAAAAAAGGAACTCCAAACAAACTTAGGCTGCCTAACCAAAGATGTTAAATGAGGTCAGTTTCTAAAGCTTGTCTAGATGGTGCAATAGAGTTCGGGCCTTAGAGTAAGGAAGAACCAAGGTCAAATCCTGCCTCAGACTCTGGTCAGATCACAAAGTGTCATTTGAATTTCACTTTATCTATAAAATCAGGATAATAATAATAACAGGGTTGTTGTGAGGATCAGTGAGATAATGTGTCAAGTACTTTGAATACCTTAAAGTGCTATATAAATGCTGGCTATCACCACCACCACCACCACCACCACCACCACCACCATCATCACCACCACCATTATCATCATCATCTCAGGTTTTTGTAAACTCTGAGACCATACTACAGGTTTATTTTCTTTTATATTTATAAGGTTCTGAGGACCCAACAGATCTGTTGATTATCATTAGTTTAAAGAAAAAATCTTCTCTGGAATCTGCTCAGTCCATTCAGAATATATTTTTGAGGTTTGCTTATATACATTATTTTTGTTTTATTGTTGTTATTTTTGTCAAGTCCAAGTACTTCCTTGGATCTTTTTCTACCACAAACCCTACAGAATTTTCTGCTAAGGCCCCAAGGCATCAAGCATTTATTAGGTGCTTACAATGTGCCAAATAGTGTGCTAAATTCCAAAAGTGAAGACTAATGGAATGAGGGCGTGAATACTCTCATATTCTTTTGGCCTTTGCCTAGGCTGTCTAGTTAATGATGGTTTAAATTAAAATGCAAGAAATTAAGTGGTTTTTTTTTTCTTACTTCAAGAAGAGTTATTGGATGGGTGAGTGGCATCAGGACGGGGGGAACTTTTTCAAAGAAGAGGAAAAATTGCTTTTGTATTATTTTAAGTAGTAAATGTCACAATGGTGATAACTGTTAGTCAAAACTGACAAGGAAGTGAATGAATCCACACAGCAGTGCTGTCCTCAAGATTTGTGCAACAGGACTGTGAGAGAGTGGAAACCATGGTGTAATGACATCATTCTTTTCCAGTAACAAACAGCTATAGACTAAATATACCAATTTCTATGCTATGGCTGATCACAGTAGAGTAATTATAGAGAAGTCCACAACTCTCATTTAAATCCAGGTCTTTCGAGTGCTAGAAAAAAAATGTTCTCAATTTTTAACAATCACATGTTTAATTACATGTCTGTTTTACATAGGTCCGGGCCAGCGCGATTGCTCAGGATGCTGATCAGAATTACGACTATGCCAGTAACAGTGTGGTTCTTCATTTGGAGCCAGGAGATGAAGTCTACATAAAATTAGATGGAGGAAAAGCACATGGAGGAAACAACAACAAATACAGCACATTTTCTGGATTTATTATTTATGCGGACTGATCATTCAGGAACTAATTATTTCTTCTGAATCTGAGCACTGGATCCATAACAGCTCATGCCTGTGAATCAAGAATCCCAGTGGATACCAACAGTGGGGCACATCAATAGTGTGTGTGTGTTGGGGGGAGGGGGGAAATCAAATGCTACCTGACTCACATCTGTACAACTCAGAAAAAAACCTTATGTTAAAGAAAAATTAAAAGCAAGATACACAGATGTGTGATCCACTACCGCCACCAAAGCAAATATTCCTTAATGTTAGTGTCCATGTGAATGAAGTCCTATAGAGATCATGACTTTTTATAGAAAAATCTACTACACTGAATTATTTCTTCAATATATATGATACTTTGGTGTATTATGATATTGCTGCTTTTATCCATATGTCAGCTTTGGTTCTTGTGAGTTTACCTGCTAATTATGATACCTGGAGGCCACTTATAGTGTGGTGAGGGATGATTTTATGCTAAAAAGAAAGGTTTGAGGGAAATCATACTATTTCTTTCCAAAGAAATTGTTTGCCTTGTATTTTTGTTACTTTTACACCTAAACTTAGGAATGATTCAGCTTTAAGCCTTAACCTGGAATGTTCTAGATTTTGAGGGAAGTAATTCTCAAGCCTTGTATTATTGCCACATAATTTAATTTTTGTTAATTTGGTTTTCCCCTCCCTGTAATGATGATTTTTAGAAACAGATCTAGAATGTGACACTGAATTGTCCTGTACATGTGCTGAGAAATTTGTGTAAGTATCTACAGTGTTTAGATAGCTTCATAATTGTTCATCTTGTCGATATAAACATTGAGTCAATATAAAAAAAATTCTACACTTCCTTCAAAAGGCAAAAGCATTTCTTCTTCAGGATAAATCCAGATTGCCGTCCTCTTCCCCATCCACACCCCTCATGCCCTGGGATGGAACAAAAGATTGTTGATGTTTATTTTGGGCCACTGCATGAATTACCAAGGGGACAGTCTGTAATGCCTTCAAACTTTTACTACAAGTTTGTAGCCTGAGGTTATTTCAAAATTAACAGATAGACATATTATCAATACAACAAGATGTATATATTTTATACACAATATATATTATATATAATATGTACATTATATATAATGTATATATATATATTATATGTGGCTTAGGCACAGTGGATATAGAGTTTAGAGATCTACATTTTTTAAAAAGTATACTAAATATGGTATGTGAACTATTTTGAATGTCAAAAATCTATGGAGTACCAAAACAACAGTTCTTAGTGAAAACAGCTCCTGTTAAGAATTTAAAAAGAGAATATTATTTTGCATAGGTTAAAGATGGCCCAGAGCACGTTTTCCTTCCTATTGGACCACTCCTCTCATATTCAAACCAAGAGTTTATTCTGGAGTCGGTGGCAGACTATTAACATTAGGCTTGCAGTAACAAAGTGGCTTCTCTTTCAATGTCGATGTATTACATGTATTTGAACCATCAATTTGTTCTTGTTTCAGAGGTGGACTGAAACTGACACTAATGTAGATTTTGAGCGCAGTAAGAGGCCAAAATCCAGCCTTTCTGGTTAACACGTACCACCGAGAGCCATCTCTTTAATCTGCCAAGTGAAAGATATAAAGTACGCGTTGTCATACACTGAACTGTCAAACAACTTCCCCCATAATGATGAAAAATCTATTCCTTGCTATTTGCCTTTGAAGATCCTCTGACAAATAGCTTTTAGAAACAGAAATTTAAAAATATTTAACCCACTTGTTTCACTGCTGAAATAACTGTACATGTCCGTTCTGCTTTTCTTTTTTTTTTTTTTTCAAGAAACAGTTTGTCTCTTTGACTTGTCTCTTTTGGGACAGTTCCGTTCTGAGTCTATGGATCATTGTCGTAGCTCCGCTATGCTTATTTTCAGTAAATGTCTAAGGTAGCCTAACCAAGATCTCAAAAAAGCAGTATTGTTGTTCATCAATATATTTATTTATAGTTCCTGTTTTCCCCCAGTGACATGCCCCAATCTGATCAAATACCATGCTTTACCAGATGAAAAAGCCTGAAGATACTCACCAAGTGTGATGATTAATCTTCTTAGGTCTTTCTAATGCTAAGCTATTTCATTAAAAAAAAAATTAAAATGGACTTCCCTTCCACTTAACAGACTTTTATAATTGTGGACATGTATGTTTACTGCAGAGGAAACTGGAAGCAAAGTTTGGGGAAGCGCTGTGTGTATCAACTAGAAAAGTAAGCATTCAAACAAAAGATTTATTTTAGGAGCAGGGTACACCAAGGAGTTAATAAAAGGACTTCATTCCACAGGGGGAAAAACCAACAACCCAGAGCTGGGTACCAAGCTCTAAAAATCAAGACTGTCATTTCTAATAGATATGACCTTTTCTTCAGATAAATAACCGTTGCTTACCCCCCATTTAGGCCCAGAGAAAAATATTCAAATAAAAAGTACACAAAAGAAATGGGAAAACGTATAAGGCAAACATTTCTTTTATTTATCTATCTATTTATTTATTTATTTATTTTGCATCATATCTTACAAACCAATTAAATTGTAGCCTTTGTTATACATGTAATGATGATAATTCATTAAACTATATTATGTAATATATTTCAACTTTTATTATTGCATTTTTATAATTCAAAGCGAGTAGCCATGTGGTTCATGCTTACACATTTCCAAAAGCATGAGAACAAAATTTAGAACAAAACAGATATGGACCTCTGAATGCAGTGAGGAGAGGGGTCTGCTTTTATTGTTTGCATGTGTGTAAGAGAGAGAAAACATACGTTGGATATTTCATTTAAAATATTCTAATGCATTTAATTGGTGACAGTATCTTTTGAAGAAAAAAACTTAAAAATCTCAAGTTCACTTGCTACAGAAGCTACTTTATAGTGCCATATTATTCGTTAAGCATTAATTAAAGAACAGCAGGATAATTAGTAGGATCATCAATATTACAGGAAACCTCAAATTGCTCCAGAGGGGGGGTAATTTAACTGGAAACAGTTTAAATTTTCTCAAGTAGTGCAGCTGATGAATCTTCAAAAGAGTCCAATTATTTGCTAAGTATAGGATTAAAATCATTGTTTGGGAACAGGTATTTCTCAATTTTTTTTTTAACTAAGGAAAACTAGTATTAGAGGGAGCCGGATTCAGAGATAAGGCAAACCTCTCATTATTCTAATTAAAAAAAAAAAAGATTATTAGCCGTGAGGGGCTCTGGATAATTTCCCACATGTTTGCCCCAGTCATCACACCCGTTCCCTCCCCCCCCCCACCTCAAACTGGCTTGGTTTCAAATAGTTGGATTTTCTCTGTCAATTTCATGTGTAAGATTCAAAATGATTTTACTATTTGAAAGTTAGCCATCTTTTGGGGTTTTCTACTAATATCTTCTCAATTGCATCCTCAGATATGCCTCTAATTAACATCTTAGGAACTATATCAGTGAGGATATGTAAATAGCCATGAGCCCCATATTTCATCAACCAATGTTTAGTATGTATGTCATGAGCAACCAGAAGTTTGTCTTCATAGCCTTCATCCACCAGTAGCAGTACCCTGCAAAAATGTTAACATATTACTTGGCATTTGTCTAGCATTTTATTTTTTCTGAGTGCTTTGTAACTATTTTTATTCATGAATCTTATTTTGCTTATGGTAAAGATAGTGCCTACTTGCTGTTGCATGTTTAGTAAGAGTCCCGTAATAAATATTTTGCGGTGAGGATGATATTGCTGAATTCTGGTAGAGACAATATCTGCATTCAGGGCACATAAATCGATCACTCTTGCCTCAGTTATTTATGGCATAATGTCCCAAAACCTGCCTGAGGGGTTGCCTCTGATAGGTGATGCTGTCTTGAGTGACCACTTTAGCACACCACCAGCGATATTGTGATCTGGCTTTACATTCAGGTCACCTCTCTCCGAAGTCTGCTCCTTCCCAAATTTCAGCGATCTCTCTGTTCCCTCGATCTTTTTTTCTGCATTTAAAATCAATGCGTGTTAAGAGGTCTAGAGGACCAGACCGTTCATGCTTCATATAAAGAAACAAGAGAAATGTTTATTAAAGCAAAAATTGGGTAGCATTATGAGAAAGCTTTAAAGTAAACAAAACAGGCAAATTAGTAGCTTTAAAAATGGAGGGCAGATTTATCTTTCCCTAGTGTACACAGGAAGCCTCGGTATTGAACAATCTTTGAAGTCGATGAGAATTTTGATTTAGCAGTAGTCTTTGGGGGGTTGGGCTAAATTGGCCCAGAAAAATTTACGATATCTTCCCTCTGTCTCAACAAGATTTCTGAAATAATTAATAGCTTTTTTAATATTTTATAGATGGATGAATGAACAATAGCTTCCCAACTATATAGCTCTAAGAATGATCTGAGAGATTCTCTCCATTCTGCTTATTAGGACTGCCACTTTTTGAATGGGTTAACCTCAGATAACTGCTGAGTGACTGTGCCTAGAGGTTGGACAATCTGTGCCATGGCTGAAAGAGTGTATTTGATGTCAAGAGACATCATTTTGGAGACAATGGAGATTTGGAGGAATATTTTGTGATTGTCTAGATAGCAGAAGTGAACAATAGATGACTGGGGGACTTTATTTCAGGTTTAAGTTTTCAAATGATCCCTTGACACCTTTAACTCTGGCTGAAGGTATTCTAGCACATTAATCATATTTAATAACCACTCTGGCGCAAAATAAGGTGTGGGGCACCATTACCAGCAATTCAGAAAGATATGATCTGTGAACTCTGGGAATGTAGTTTAAAAGATAAACTTGCATTTGTAGGTAAAATTCTTCACTTGCAGGCCAACCAAATATTTAGGCAAATCTCAGATAGTCTAAGACAAACTGGAAGCCATGCCTAGCAAGTGATTGACAAGACATATATTCAAAGAACTTACCATAAGATCATAGGTAAGGATCTTAGAGGTCATAAGAAGAGGACCTTAGAGGTCATCTAATCCAACTCCCTTATTTGCAGATGAGGAAACAGACCCACAGAAGTTAAGTGATTAGTCCAAGGTCACACAGGTAGTAAGTGGTAAATCTAAGACTTGAACTCAGAACCCATGGCTCCAAGTTCACCTTCCTTTCCTTTACAATATGCAGTTAAACATTACTTATCTCATATATGTCCTAGTTAACATGTTGAAATCCTTTCCCAAGTAGCTTAGTCTTCCAGAAGTTCTGGGGAGAATACCCTTTAAAGGGATTTATCTGTCTGGAGAATTTATGGGTCTTTATAAAAAAAGAGAATTTGACTCTATCCCTCTGTCTCTGTGTCTGTCTCTCTTTCTCCCCCACAAATCTATATACACATATACACAATTCATATCAGTGGACAAATTAAATTAGAGATCTCATTACTGATATACTAACACATATAACTATAGCTTTATTTGATGGCCAGAGTCTCAGTATAACTAACTAACTAACTAACTTAAATAAATAAACAATTAGGATGGTCCTATTCTTTTTTGCTTCTGGCTTTTTTTGGGTCCCTCATTCTTTTGCCATGTATTTTCTATTATCTGTGAAATGGGGGAAATAACACCCTTCTACCATACAAGGCTGCTATAAGGCTAGTTAATGATGGCTCCTTGAAAGTACAGAAAAGCTACAGAAATAACAAAATTGTGAAGTAAAAGAGAATATGGAAATATCTCATGTAAGATGAGGTATTTTTCTAAATAGATGCAGGGTACAATTTGTATTCAGTCTGATATTACTAAGTCATGATTCTAGAGACTGCTAATCTCACATGATACTTCCATGAGAAAGACACTAGTGCAGTTTTCCTAGAACAACCCTTTTGCAACTGAAGACAGCAGCCTGGTCTTTTATCACATAGAAAAAAAAAAACTTCCCCCGTCCTAGGCCATTTTGTGAAATAAACAGGTCTGGCGGATATGCCACCAGAAGGGAGGGACTGCTACAGATGAGGCTAAAAAAAATTACAGTAATTATAGAGAGACAAATGAGTTAGTAATTTGCAAACAAATATTAGAGAGACATTCCAAGTGTGAAAAGCCAGTGATATAATAAGATTTGAGAAATGGAGCATAAGATTGAAAACAGGTGTTCGGCATAGCACATTTCTGGTCATGAAAACCAGAGTCCAAGTCCACTGGTGCCCAGGGTTTAAAATTAGTTTGGACCAGACTGGATTAGTTATGGAAATCAGGACCCCAAGGGACTGAAAATGATAGGCTAAAAGGGAATTATATAATGGACACAGCTTAACATGCCAGAATAAGTCATTCTAATAATTTAACCAAGAGCTCCAATTGGATAAGGTAGCCCAAAGCAGGGCTTCAATTTTAGTTAAATATAATGGGGAAAAGATGAATTCTTCAAAAGATGTGGTGGTCATTTTTGTTGCATCCCAGGTACATTTGAGTCAGTTTCCTTAACTTCTTGGTATTCATTTTTTTCTTTTTATCAAGCTTAATGTGTTGAACCCATTGACTTAGAAAAGGAATATGGGGGAACTCTGGCTCATTTCTCAATACCTCCAGATGGATTCCCTCTAAGGAATCACCTCCTGTCCACACTGGAAGCTTTGAGGGTGCTTCCTTAAATGTGCATTGATAAAGAGAATATTCACAGCTACAAACAGGCTTTGGGAAAAGGGAACCTGGTTGACAAGAAATTAATTATCCTGAAAGGCTACTCACATTGTGGATTAAAGTACTCAAGGCTTTAGAATATTTGAAGAGAATGCTTGTAGAAATAAAATGTTCCTCTTTGCCTACAACACATTTGCAAAATGACTGAGGCAGTCAATCCACAGTCTGATAGATCTTACTGATTTGAAGTCATCAATTAAAAACCAACCAGTAGGAATAACTCAACACAAACACAGTTAAGTGAGACAATTAATTGGATATTTTATACTATTAATTTCACTGGTCAAGGCAAACAAACTATTTTCTTTGATAGGTAAAACCTAATTCTTGCTATAACATTAGGAAGGGGTTTGGACTTGTTAGTTTATAACTACAAAATGCAAACTGAATAGACCAGGAAAAAAATTAAGCTTAAATCAGTTTGTTGTCTGTTTCCAACAGAAAGAGCCATGACCCAGGTTAATAATTCAGCCCAGCTATGGTCCCTCTAGGTTCCAATGCAATGGAAGTTTCCTGCCCTATAGAAAAAGACTTTAATGCCTTCAGATCTGAGTAGTCCAATTGGAACAAGGGCAACACTGAGTGGGCAGACTTATGTAAATGACATATATATTTTTTTCTATAGGAAGCACTGTGGTACACTGGAAAGATTCAGAATCAGAGGACTTTTGTTCAAATCCTGGCTGTCATTCACTTCCTGGTAACCTGTCAAGTCACTTAACTCTCAGAACCTCAGTTTCCTCTTCCGTAAAATGACATATTTTGACTAAATGGCCTTGAAATCTCTTGTCTTTTAAGATATTCCAGTTGCCAACCAACACACATACTTTATAGCCTCATCTTTTTTTGTCTCTGCATTTAAGGCATAAATATAAAAAGACTTTGGTCCAAGACCCGCCCACTCTCTTTTCCTTTTCATGCTGAGAACATTAGCAAGAACTAGGTCTCTATTCACCCCTGTGCTAGGCTTGAAAATATGTAAGTAGTTTCTTTTGAGTTCAGACTGGGGACTGTATGAGTTTGCAGTGTCATTCTCCTACTAGTTGACAAGATGTGATCCTCAGCTCCTTGTTATCTCTCACCTCGCCATAGCCAATATGCTGCCAAGTCCTCTCCATTCTACCTTTGTAATGTCTCTATTATATGCCTCCTTTGCTTTTTTGATGCTTCCACCATCATGATGCAGGCCCCTTCACCCCAGCCCCGGACTATTACAATAGCTTGCTGGTTGGTCTCCCTGCTTCAAATGTCTCATCACTGTAGTTCATCTTCCACTCAGTTATCAAAGTGATCTTGCTAAAGCCCTGATCTGAATATATTGCTCGCTCTATTGGTAAATTTTGATGGCTCCCTATTACCTTCAGTATCAGATATAAAATCATTTGTTTGGATTTTATAGCCCTTCATAACCTGGCCCCTTCCTACCTTTCAGTTTTCCTATCCCTTAAGTATTCCTATAGTCCACACATTCTGTCTAGTGACGTTGTTCCTCGTACAAGACACCCCATTTCTTGACTCCATACATCTTTATTGTACTCACACCTGGAATACTCTCCCTCCTTATCTCCATGTCCAGGTATCTCTGGTTCCTTTCAAGTCTCAGCTAAAATCTCACTTTTTCAAGAATCCTTTCCCCAAACCTCTTAATGCTAATGCCTTCCTTCTGAGATTATCTTCAATTTGTCCTGTATGTATCTTATTTGTACAAGATTCTTGTCTGTTATGCCTCATCTCTTTAGACTGTTAGCTTCTTCGGGGCAAGGACTACTCTTTTGGTCTTTCTTTAAATCTTTTAGCACTTTGTGCTGTGCCTGGCACAAAGCAGATGCTTCACAAGAGCTTGTTGACTTGGCTTGACCTGACTTGACTTGTTTTTATTGCTTTTTGGAAAACGTTTGGAGAAAGGGTTTTGCACTCA